AACCTCTCCATAATTATCCTGGCGTAAATCCTTGACTTGGCCGAGCACACCGACACGTTCCGTTCAGATTGTGAGTGGTTGGTGGGCTCGGGTATTCGACCTGGTCGTCCACGAACTCGGATATTCAATCTAGTCAACCACGTACTCGGATATTTAACCTAATCAAAGTTATAATAATTAAATAATTTTCTTTGTCGATAATACCTTTTTACTAAAGAGCTAAACTAATAATTATGGATTCATTTAAACATTTAAAATATCTGTCAATAAATGAGAATATTATTAAAAAAATTATAAAAATGAGTAATAACAACATATTCTAATATATATATATATACATATATATATTCCATATATACTCCTTTTAACATATATTTTATTTCTTCTGAATGTATTTTTTCTTTTTTTAAAACAAGGCATATTGGTTAATTAAAATTTATTAAAAGTTATAAAATCATGAATGGAGTCGTTTTAAGAAGCGAAATCCATAAAAAAAAATGTATAAAGAATACTTTATGTATTTTTTTATTTGTGTTGAGAATATTTTTCATCCAATTATTAAATTTTTTTTTATCATAAAAATCACCGAAGTGAATTTGTCTATGACTAGATAATAAAAATTCCGACAACATATTTAACAAATTCAACTATTTATCAACAATATTAGTCGTTATTAATATGCTTAACAAATATAGTCTCTAACAAATTTATTTAATACATTTTCTATAATTAAACTTATTAAAAATTGTAAAAATAATTTTAAAAAATTATGACAACATATTACTTGTATATTTTAAAAAAATTGACAATTATTTTAAAACAATACAAAACATTTAGAGATGGACTAATTTAACTATGATTACACCTGAAAATTTGAAATTGAATGTTAGTGTAGTAATTGTACCTAACCGAAAATGCACAAAAATGCTTCAACTTTATTTATGATATAGAAATAATTTCAGCTGCTAGTAAATGTTAGCCGGTGATTTTTTATTATTCAGTTCCTTTTGTGGTCAACAATTAATGCATTAAATTGCTAATTTTGTTTTTCTGTCTCCTTTAACAACTACTGCTATAATTTTAAAATAACGGTCACAAAATATTTCATATCTTTGATAATTATACATAAATAAATATTAAAAGTTATGAATAATTATTTAAAAATAATATATATCTTTTTATATTTAAAAAATATAATAATTCACTAAAAAATAAAAATAAAAAATATGATTATCAAAATATATAATCTTTATAAATATAGATTATCTTAATGTATCTTCCTATTCCTACTCCTTTTTTATTAAAAAAAAATCCAACGTTCTTACTTTCTTTATATAATAAATATTGAATATATTTTATATTTTCAAAATATTAAATGTATTTACTTTTCCATTTAATAATTTTTAATGAGAAAATACAAAATTTGTAAGAGAATGTAGTAGTATTACTCCTTCTTAAAATATTTATCATTTTTAATGATGGTGTTAAATATGATTACATAAATCTAAATTGCATTGTATTGCACTAATTTGATACATAAGCATACGAAGAGGATTTTTAGAATAATTAACACAAAAGTTTATATAAATTCATCTTATTATACAAGTACTTCAATCAAAAGTTAAAGGTGTTTGGTTAAAGTTATAAAAATAATTTGTGATTTTTAAATAATTCATTTTTAACTTATTTTAACAAAAAAAATCGCTGTAAAACTAAAAGTTAACAAAATAAAAACATTAGTTAAACAATTATTGTGATATAAACTTTCATGGGTTAAGTTATTGCATAAGCAATTGATTAAAAAGAATTCAAAATTTATCCTGAACCTTGACGATTACTGATACGCATATAACTACTTTACATTATTTTAGTAAATATTCAATATCATGCCATATAACATTGTACAAATACTTTTTTTAAAAAAATAAAATAGTTTTTTTTTTTAATTTAAGTGTGTTTATTTTAGCTTTATTCTTAAAATAAATTTTCTATTTTTTTAAGAAGCAATTTTTATCTATTTTTTAAACGAATTATTTTTTATAACACATTTATATCGTATAATATATTTATTAACAATCAGTGCTAGTGGTACGAAATTCCTCTTTGTTTAAAAAATACATCTCATTCTTACGTTTTTGAACTCTTTTTGGACATGTCATATGATTCATGCCTATAATGTAAAATATTAACTATTATTATATAAGACATTTCATGTTTACAAGTTTGCTCTAACTATATTCATCTTTTATTATTATGATTCACTTACGAATACATATATATTAGTTTTTTTTTATAGAAAAAAAGTCTATTTCATATTGGGAAAAAAGACTATCATAAGTCATATATAACTACACTTTGCATTCATTAAAAAAAATAGTTTGTGCATAGAGATTACCAAAACCATTATAAATAACCCCGACAATAGGATTTAAATTCACACGATAGTTTAAACCTATACCATTATATCTATAAATAAAAAAAAGATAGTATATTTCTTTTACTATTTAGTCATTATTATATAAGAGTGTTTAAAATAATAATATTATTAAAAGGTACGAAGTTGGACACTAAATCATTAACAAAATATATACAATTAGAGTTCGTTCACTTTTAAAATTTATTAGTGTGTTTGCTTAAAATTTTTATTATTTTGAAAAGTTAGTATGAATTCCTTACGAATAACAACTATAATTATCACTAAATTTTAAATTATTATAATTATAAATATAAAAAAAATTATGCAGCATTACAAAAAAAAAGGATAATTTGATTTTTTTTCTCTAAGTTTAATAGAAATTTACCTCGATAATAATGTTACCATATATGTTTGTGCTATAAATTTAAACCAAAAAAAAAAAAAAAAAACACTCAGTTTATACAAAATCTACTCTAGCACATAAAATTGTTTTGTTTTAAGAATTGGAAATGATGTCATAATATTTTGAGATATCAACTAGAGCATTAACTGCATTATAGACTTATAGTAAGGGAACTAGTATATAACCAAGCATAACTTCCCCCTTAAAACACAAAACGTGAATCGTGTAAAAACAGTTTTAATTGTGTTCCTAAATGCCGAACAAAGACAGACTATATTGTTCTTATTTGTTTCTACGAACTTAAATTTGCCTCAATCCTTAATATATGGTGGTTGGATATTTATAAAGAAATCGTCTGGAGTGTGTTTAAATATAAGTTAGAAATATAATAAAGACTATTTTTAAGTAAAAAAAAACTCTCGAAAACATTTATAAATTTGTATCTCAACATATTCTTAATTAACATATAATTATAAAGACACTACATAAGTTAGGAACAATAAACAAAATATTGATAAGTCTCCATATTAGGTAGAATTGTGATCTTTCTCAAGACATTCTTCTCGTCATATTTTATCATTAAAAAAATTCTTAATTAATAAAAACTTTACACGTTCACGGTTCACCCATTAGTTCCATTAGAAGTTGTATGCATGAAGAAAAAAAAAACATGTTAATCATATTTCATCTCTGAAAAAAAGGTGTATATACGAAGAAGGAAATCAAAAGAGTAGAGCAAAGAAAAAGAACTATTTTTTGCCCATTATTTCCTTTTCTCAGTTGTTTGTTATTAAGGTGATTACCAATTATAACTTTGCAAGGGGTGTTAAAGAGAAATTAGTTTGTTAGGAATAGTTGTTAATTGTCATAAACTCTATAAATAGATTCCCTAGAGTTCACTTAATCTTTTATCATTTCAATCAATACAATGAGTTACTTGTTACTACTCTCTTGTTCTTCAAAATCTGCAATGTGTAACTACATTAACTATGAGCGATTGGTTTGTCTTCCCAATTTTATCATAATTAGCTTTGCCTCTTTTTTGTTTAGTCTCCCCTTCTAATAATTCAAATATATTGTATGTATTATTTGGACGAAGAAAAAGAGGGAAACAAGTGAAAAAAACAAAAGAAAAGGGGAAAAAATTGCTTAGCATCAAACAATTTTTTATGGCCTTTTATTTGTTTGCTAACAAAAATAACTTTTAAAGGAGACAATTAACATGACTGTTACAAGGACACTGATCAAGAAATCCTAATATAATGTTTAGGCAAAAATGCCATGTTAATTTAATAAATTAAAAAGTTATATGAAACAATATTAATGTTTTAAAATTTACATTTTGCTAACATCTTAAGAACTTGAAAATATTTAATATTATCTAAATAATATTTTTAATAATTTATTAACATGAATTATACCCTTCTCTTGACTTATATTTTCAAAGCACTTAATTAAAGACACTTTTTTTTGTTCACACACTATTAGATGTGAAATTTATTAAAAACCAGTTACAGGAGTTTCATTCTTTATTTACTAAAAGTCGGCAATTTCCTCATAATTTTATAAATGTTAATAGATCTTATAAACGAGTATGTTGAAAGAAGTATATTAAAAACTTGTATTAGAAATACTACTCCCCATCCTAATGTTACACCAATAACCGTTTGTTATTACAAAATTGGACACCAAATTATCAAACCTAACTAATTTATTTTAAAACCAATAAGAATTAACAGCAACAAAATTTAAACCAAAAATATTATACTTATTACTTTATCACTAAACCAACCCCAGTCATTCATAAACCTAACACAATTGTAATAAGTATTTTATAAAGAAGTTCTTAGATGATGGAGAAGAATAGCGACTCCCAGTTGTACGGTTGTAAAGCTCCCGATCACTGCGACAATGAGTGATAGGATAGGACATACAGTTGCGCTTCTCGTTCTCACTTGGGTACTGCATTTAAGAGCACACTTATCCGATAACAATCATCTCATTTTCAACGTAACTTCCCTACAAGATAATTTAAGTACTTTGTGGCTGTAGCTATTTGGATAATGCGATTACACAACCACGTATGCTGGCATTGCATCCTCCGCAAATGCTAAGCTAATATGGAACTGCATTAAACAGCATCCTAATTATATCGGGACAATGTGTTTAATACACATCTAATTGAAGTGACTACTTCAACAGTAACTAATGGTGATGCTTGTGGTTTTTAAATTATAATCAAAGAAACAAAATTTGGGTACAGAATAGCTAACCACAAAAACTGTGACTCAACAACTCAACAAAATTTGAAGACCTCTAGAACCAAAAATAAATAAACAAAACACTGTTACAAGTGAGAATGCAAAGCCAAAATCTGTCTGGAGAGGCGACAACTCGCACTCTTCACTGCGACAGGTGAATACAGAGAAACCGTCCAAAATTTTGAAAAGGACAAAAGGACCGTTACATTATTACAGAATGAGAAAATAATACAAAAAATATGCATCATCACAACCTTCACCAAATTTTTATTGCCAAAATAGTGATTCTGCATGCATACAAAATTGAGATCATCCACATTTGAAGCATTCATATCCACACCTGTTCTCTGCTATATTCCCTTACAATTACAGGTACACTTGTGGGTGGAACCTGCCAAGGTTGAATTGTTAAATCTTTTATTTTTCCGTAATCGTAACAATCGTGACTAAGTGTTAAAACTTTAAAGTAAAAGGAAAATGCTCCATAAGACTACAAAATGCATTTATTTTACCAGAGAACTAGAGGGTACGAGCATTTACCTAGTTTAAATTCTAGTCCACTATTTTAATGTACCTCTTTCATTTAGTATTTATTTTTTTTTTTATAATCATGTTATAGATACAAAATTATCTATCAACTTTGTCGATGACTATTATTTATTGTTTTAATATTTAGGAGGAAGGATGCAAATAAAACTTGTTTTTATTTTATCCTAATGGATTTTCTTAGTCAAAACTGTTATCTTTATCCTGATTGTATCATTCTAGTAAAAATAGTGCGACTGCGACATCATAATCCATACCAACAATCTAACATAGGGGTACTACCCTGGAAAAAGCACACGTTAGGTATCTACTAGCAGAAACTAAATAGATCTTATTTAAATTCCAGCACTTACCATGCCATAATCTGTGATTATCATGGAAACGTAATCTGAAGGTGTTGCATCATAGCTGGCATCAACATAGAGAACTGCAGGGTCAGAGTATGAAAATGACAATTTTGGCGTTGTATTTATGTAAATATAAATGCCTCACATCAGATTTAGAAGTTGCAGATTTTCAGTATTGGCCCACGCTTCCAAGTGGTTCACATCCTCTCTACTTCGAACTGTAGCGATGACATCTGGATCACCTGTAAGAAAATCATATAAGCATCAACTTTTTCCAGACATAAGGCAACAGCTCAGCACAATCTCATCATCTGTCATTGTTTACATACCAAGTTCATTTGAGCATATGGAATCATGCTGTACCCTTTCATGAAATTTATAAGCCTCACAACATACTAAAACAGGGACGCGGAATGCATGGGCAACCATTGCAACACAAGCAGTCCCAACTCCTGAATAAACTGTTCCATTTGACAACACTGACGAAGCACCTATAAAGACTCGAGTAACTTCGTTCATTATGTAGGATACAGCATTTATATGAGCGTATGTACAGCTAAGACCTTTCTCCACCAGCCTACGAAGTAAAAGTTTCCCTCTAAGTTTTGGACGAGAGTCTACCACTACAACTTGAAACTGTTTCCCTAACTCGTGTGCCTGTAAGAGTATCATTTCAACTGCCGATGATGACCCATAAGTAAGAAGAACATCACCATCTCTTATTTTTGTGACAGCATGCTTAACTATCACCTTGTTGGCAAGTATAATTTTCTCACTTATAAAACGCTCAATATCTGATTGAAGAGAGATTTTTGATTCTGACTCAGACAGTGTCAGAGGTACCTTGGCAATTCGACTTTTGAGAAATCTAATTGCATTCCCCATACTGATAGAAAGTGGTCGACACTCAATGAGGAAAGAAACATAACTACTTATTTTTGCTGTTAAGTCTCTCACAAGAGTCTTCTCAGATGGAATTCGGTAGTCTTTAATGGCCTCTTGAAATGCTTGAAGCATAGCAATACAACGAGCATTGCCACCAGATATATCTCCAGACAGATACTGCAAACCTACCTGATAATCATAATATGTGGTTAAAGGAAAATACATATAGAAAGGGCCTGATTTACAAAACAAATTGAACCAGGTCTTAATCACTAACCTATCACAGTATCCACTGCAACGCCATAAATAAATTCTAATCATGATTCAGCTCATAGTATCTCCATGCATACAATAGGTGCCTAGTTACAATTTATTTTCAATTTAGATGTTATTAAGGATGATCATCTTATCTTTCAAATAGTATAGGGGGCAAGACAACGCAGTGCAATTAATAATAAAAGATGCATAAAGTTGAGTCCTGTTAAGAGTGAAAAGACTGTATCTCTTCATGTTATTTAATATACTCCCTATTGTGTGGCAATTCTAGTAAACAAACATTCCAACCAGAAGACGTCCAATTTTAACCATTTGTTAATATGAACCATAGAATAATTGCTTTAACCTTTAAACATTTTGCTTCAAACATACAATTACACTAAATCTAAAAGTACTTGATTTGTATTTAACTTCCCCTTCCCTCCCTACCACTTGACTCCCTCTTCTTGTTTAGATATCAACAGAACAAAAGAAATGAAGGCAGCAACGCAGTGTTGGATACTGTCCACAATATAACCAATGAGGTAGAAATTGTGCCGTCATCATTGTAAAGCACAGATTAACAAAAGATTTAACTATTTATCAACTGTCAATTTTAAGAACTGTGAACCATGTGACCTTACTACCTAGAAGACTGTTGGGAACTTTAACTGCGAGTGAAATACCTAAATGCTTGGAGATAGCATAGATTTTACCCTAGCAGTGTATGTCATGTATCATCATGCAAAATTTCAACCAACACAAATTTTCAACTAACAACACATTAAGGTGTGTTTGATGAAACTAAAAATTTCATCAATAAATTTTTATTGATGAAAACTAAGCAAAAATTTAAATGCTAGAAGAGGCTTAAGTGCTGCAATTGTATCAAATGAAACTATTAGAATTAAATATGGTACACAAGGCTTGGTATAAAGAAACCATTTCCATTTAATTACTTAGAAAATGTTGCTGCTGAATACAATAAATGATCTCTCGTATACTGAATGTTTCTGGCATCTTTTCACTCTGGGCTGTATTAAACACGTACAAAATAAGTTAATTTGGTGGCTGAATCTTTTTGTTTTTAAGTTTCAACTTAATGTAGGTACTTAGTTGAGTTTAATAAATCTTAAGTCAAGATAGGGTTCAAGGGCAAGGAACCCCATTTATCATAAGTTATGAGAGTGCCACAAGAACTACACATATATTTCGAAATGATAGATCCTGACCAAGGTTGTCAAACTCGAGAGTCTACACAAACTCGTGGGACTCTCGTAGACTCGACTCGTAAACTCGTAAGAGTCTACCTAATGTTAAAATATATTAAAAAACATGAACACACATAATATGATATCACTAATTCAACATTCTAAGTCTGAAATAAGTCAAATAACAACAATAAAATGTCATAATACAAATGTTAACCATACACGAACAGTACGGCGCAAGGAAAACATGACCACAAACAGGAAAACGTCACCACGAACAGCTCGTCGGAAGCTACAAGGACAGCGCTGGGTGGATAGAACAAGTTAGACGGTGACTGGTGGGGAGCAGGAAAACGTGACGAATAGCTCGTCGAAAACTGCAAGGACGACGCCGGAAGCTGCAACGACGGTGCCGGGCAGACTGGACGAAGTCGGACGGTGTTGTTTTCGTATGCGGCGGAGGGAGAGAGATCGAAGAACAAAGAGGAGGCAAAGTGTTCTTTTCGTATGCGGCGAAGGGAGAGAGATCAAAGAACAAACAGTAGGCAAATTGTTCTTTTTGTATGCACAGAGGGAGAGATCGAAGAAAATAGAGGTGCTTCGGAACCCTAGCTAAAACGACGTCGTTTTGGGGGCAAAAAATTAACCTAACCTTGACTTGCGATTCTGAGCGAGTCTATCCAAGTCTACCCGAGTCCACCCGAGTCTATCAAAAACCGATTTTGTTCGCGAGTTAACCAGTTTTGCTACCCTAGACTCGTAGACTCGTACGAGTTTACAAGTTAACTCGCGAGTTTGACAACCATGATCCTGACCACATAAGAAACATGAATTATAACAAATTAAACAGTGGAACACATAGTGACCTTATAAACTGCAGGATGCACAGAATCAAGCTGGAAAAACTTTGCCTCAAGATCTGGGAGCTGACTTCCATGTTCATACTGTGGCAAATGCCTGAACAGTTCAACTCTGTTCCTAGCTTCAGTCTGTTTTACCACAGCACGCCGTTTGGCTTTCTCCACTCTGCTCTTATCATCATATTGCATGCGTGGCTGAGGAACATCTTTCTTTCTATCTTTTTCTGGTGGACGATCACCTCCCCTCTTCTCAGAGGCTGCAACTGAAGCATTATCAACTTTTTGTGGGGGCTTTGCAGCTTTAGCTGGTTTTACATTCACTGAAGCCAGAGTTACAGATGCCTTATTTCCTTCAGCTAACAACACATTATATAAAAGCACAAACTAATTAGCAGTGTCAATCACAGTGAATTATATTAGAAAAGAGGATTTATGTAATCTCATCATAAATTCCCAATTCAGTCTAGCTAAAATCATTATGAAAAACAATGTTTCAGTCTTTATACAGTGGATCTGAAGAAGAAACAAGTTTCAATTCAGTTTTTTTTTGTTTGCAAAGAATCATAAAATGTTCAAGAGCTATAGCTGAAAAGTTTTTCATGACTAAAATAGTCAAGATCAACATGCTAAATGCTAAATGCTAATACTCACCTTTTGCAGCAGCCTTAGCAGCTCGTTGAGCTTCTTGAAGAGCTCGTCTTTCAGCTTTTGAGGTCTTCTCTTTCTTCTGTTTAGCATTCAGAGCTTGGTCTTTCACTTCCACCATTGCTCCTCCTCCTTTGCCTGCTTTCTCTATTTCTAATGGGAATTAAAGAAGGAAAAAGGTAGAAAAAATGCTTAAAATACCGAACCAAACCATGCCTAATCATCACTTATTATTGTCTAAGATTCCTTCAAAGTGAAAGACATTCACAAATACAATAATACATGGACAACAAGCAAGTTAGACGGATACAACAATTATTCCTCATAATTTAAGACTGGCAAGGCAATCAATTTAACAGATGGAAAAAAACACAAGCAAATTTTATTTGTTTTTTCAATAAACAATTGTATCTTTTCTAATAAATATTGGAGCATAAAGTATCAAAAACCAGAAAACCAAGTTTTGCATACATAGAATTGGGTGGATTTTGTGAATTTTTTTCTTAAAACATAATTTGAGTCACTTAAGAAGTGTTGGCTACTTCTGAAAAAGCAGCCACAGTGCATACACAACATCAGGAACTGCTATAGCTTTAGTACGCATCAAGTACTTGAATCTCACATTCAACTTTACCCTTTTATTTTGGGTGTCAACTAGACATGACTTGAATCCCATTTCACTTAAAAAAACTTTAATTTGGTTTGTTTGTGAACCATTTTAGATTTAGTTAGCAACAAATAAGCATCTATCAGAAATGAGTCTTTTAAGATGGATGTGTGGTCCCAAAAGAAAGGATAGGATATGGAATAATTGTATATGTGAATATATTCGTATAGCACTACCGAGGAATAGATGATAGAAAATCAAATAAGGCAATTTCAACACGTGGAAAAAAGGCTACTGAAGGCACCAATGAGAAGCACAGATCGCATGGTTTTAGCCTTGTGAAAAAGGATAAAGGGAAACTAAGAAGAACGTTGGAGAAAATTATTAAAAGGGATCACATTGTGAATAATTAAGAATTTGGTTTCTAACCGAACTAAATGGTGTTGTGTAACCCACATGGACAACCTCATCCAGTAGGATAAGGCTATTGTGGTATTCATTGAAGTGAAGTACAAAATATAAATCCTTATCCTAAATTTCATCATTAACAGTATAACAAGCAAAACCATAGCATTGCATTGGCTACATATGAATGACAAAAACATTAAAATAATTTAGGGAAGTATTCAGGCCAACAACATGCCACAATGAACGTTTCACCCATCGAGGCTAGATAAACCCCATAGTTAGTTAGAGGAATAATTAGTTAGTTGGTTGGGGACTGGGATAATCACATAAATAAAGCATGTTGCCTATAAAGAAGAAAAAGGGTTGAGATGGAGAAACATCTTGTCATTTGAGAAAGAATTACACTCTTATCCATTGTTTGTTTCTATGGAAATAGAGTGGAAGGAAATATGAAGAAAACAACTAGGATAGAAATATTAAATTTCCATGGTTTGTTTGTGAGGGAAAATAAGGAAGTTATTTCCATGGAACCCACAAGATTATACTTTCCTCCCAAATTGGAATGAAATAAGGTGGAATCTATCTCTCTTTATGTTCTATTTTTAAAATTTTTAAATTTTTATAAAATAAAAAATGATAAATAATTTTAAGAAAAAATATTAGATTAAAAGATCATTTTTTATTATTATAAAAATATCGTTTTTATATAATTCATTTATTTCTTTTCACTCCCTTTTCCACTCATAGATGTGGAGAGAAATTTGCCTGCTTTTTTTGTTCCTATTTCTATCTATCCAAACAACATATTTTTTCCATTCAATTTCTCCTTTATTTTTATCATTTCTATTTCCCTCATAATCCAAACATTGCATTAAAGAGTGGGGAGAATCCTGGTCTCTTGAATATCCAGGGAAATCATTCATTATATATCTTTTACCCAAGCCTAAGTTTGCTACCACTTTAGAATAGCAGCTGGGATTTAGGGTTCATCAATAAAAGACTTCTTCCCCTTGGATTATTAATAACTAGTATTAGAAAAAATCTAAGTCCTACATTGACTAGAGATAAAGCAAACAAAAAGTATATAAGTGGGAGGTAACCCTCACCTTACAAGTTGATTTTGTAGGTTTGAGTAAGTGATGGATCCAAAAATTTTAAATAGTGGACAATATTTATATGCATTTTTTTACTGTAATATTTATAATTATATACATAAATTTACAGTGTTCAAAATATAAAATAACAATTTTATAAGATGAAGTGAGCTAGTTTTTATTTGAGATGCATGGCGAGTTGCAGTTATTATTCTTGAAATTCATAACATGTTTCTGTTTGGTTTTTGATATGCATAACAAAGTTCGCATTTAATTTTTTCTTGATACACATCTAAGCAGGTTCAATTTTTTATGACACCCACGAGTCCACGCCTAAGTTTTCTGTTTTCTTTTTATAGGCATATGTAACAAGTTTCAGTTATAGAGAAGTTGGAATCTATTTTTGGGGGGCAATATAATAATATATATACATATAGTAAAAGAAACTGAAAATGTAGTGGGAGCAACTGCCCCCACAGTCCAATACTTAAATCCGTCCCTGGTTGTAAGAACTAGTTCTGTCATTGTGTTAGTATGAATCACATTTTTGTAGGGTTGGGTTAGGTCCATAGCATACTTTGTAAGAACTAGTTCTATCACTGTGTTAGTATAAATCACAGAAGATAGTCATAGTCAAAACTGCAAATCTCTGATTTTATCCGATGCTGTGTAAAACAAAGCCATTGATAAATATCTGAAAGTTTAAACAGCAATACAAACTTAAAGCAACTACAAATCTACTATTGACAAAGTGTAACTGATATGTGAAGTCAAAAAAATTGTCATAAGTAGATAGGAAGAACAAAGAAATTATTTGCACTACTTTATGCAAAGGATATTTAGAACAAAATAAGATATTCAGCAGCTTCACTTAAGAGATGCAGTGAATTTTATTAATTCAATGAGTAAGACGACAGCATGTAGGCCAAAACGACCCTTGTTTGGCAAGGACATTATGTTGTCCTTAACATGAAATGATATGCTCCACAAGGGAGCTCCTGCAATCGTCCACTCCAGAAGTTAACTAGCAGCAAAAAATGTGGTGATACTGAATAAAATTGTAGCATTCATGCCAATTTCAAGTATTAAAAACAATTTGATAAAGAAGCAAATAACATTTCTGTCATGCATCATCAGAGCCAAGTATGAATTGAAACGTCAATTAATAACTCTAAACTCAATTTGATTAAAGACCTATCTGATAAAACTTTCTTGCTGTTGCTACTGATAAGCTACACAGAGCAGACTAGCACTCAAAAACCTGTCAAAAGTTAAATCTAGAACCCAAACATGTCTTCATTCCATTCAACTAAATGCAACCATAAACACTCATAGTTTCCCATGTGCTAACACAAACCTCAATCAGCGCTATAAATTTGCAATTTCATTCTTACTTTCACAACGAAGTTCCAATTCTAAGTATATCGATTCTCCGATTCAAATAACCGAACCAAGCAAAAGAAGCAAAGCCTCACCGCGAATAGCAAGGGAAGCATCATTCACCACCGTCAAGTCAAACCCGCCACGAGGAAACGAGGACGCGACCTTTCCACCACCGCCGCGTCCCGGCGACGAAGCAGCTCCGTGGAAGAAGTCTCCGTTGCCGAGGACGATCCTGCTGGAGGGCGCCGGAGACATCGGAGCGTGGAAGAACTCGGACGAGCTGGAGTAGCTCCCGGCGGCGACGGATTCCTCGGCGGAGGGAGAAGTCGCGTCGGGACGAGCGTGGAGGCCGAGATTCTCAGCTGCGTGGCACGGCGGAGGGATCATGACCGGCGAGAGGGAGTTGGAGGAGGGAGGGAGTTGGAATGAGATCGGGTCGGGTGGACCCGATTGAGAGGCTTCGGGCGGGGCGAAGAACCCGACTTTGCGAACCTTAGGATCAATGACGGCGCGTGGAGCTCGACGCGCGTCCATGACGGAAAAACCGGTTAGGTTAGGTTTGGGTCAAATGATGTTCAGAGGGTATCATGTTTAGGTGGCAGGAAAATAACCCTTTCTTTTCTTTTTCCCTTCTTTTCTCGCCAAAGAAGTTGAAGCAGCCAAATGATGAAAATGAAGAAAATTTAAAAATAGAGAAAATGGAAATTGTTTGTCTTTTTTCCAACTTGGGTCTCACTCGCGGCCAACTCATCCATTCTAGTATGCGTTTCTCTCATCAACGTTATCTTACTACCTTAAGTCCATTTTTAAATATCAGACGTAACTTTTAATGTTTTAAAATGATGTTCTATTTGTATGAGTAATATTTAAATATATTTATTTTTTAAAATTAATAATTAAATTTTCAATATTAACTTAGCTGATAAAACATATATTTATTTTAAAACATTTTTTTCACCATTATTGGTTTAAATTCGGTCATTCGAAGATTTTATTTGGTATTAAAAATAATGAAGTTAAAAGAGGTAAACTAAATTAAGTCTAGTCTCTTATTTTCTGCAATAGTCATCAACAAATCCGTTGTCGTCCAGCGGTTAGGATATCTGGCTTTCACCCAGGAGACCCGGGTTCGATTCCCGGCAACGGAAGATTATATTTTGCATCAAATATCCTAATTTTTTTTTCCCATTTTATATCTAATTTGCCATTATCTCTATCTCACACTAATACTTACTCAAGTTCTTAAATTTTTTTATTAAGAACGTAGACTATTTACACTAGTAAGATTCTAAATTTTATTTGAAGGTTTAAGAATAAAATAAAATTGAGATTAAATAATAAAGGTGTTTAATAATTTAAAATTTTAAGTGGTTAAATAATAAAGGTATCATTAAACCACATTGCCAATTAAGGGACATCAAATATCTTTCTTTTTTTTTTTTTTTTTTATAACTAATTTGCCATTAATCTATCTCAAACTAATACTTACTCAAGTATGCATCCTTCTTAATTTTTTTTATTAAGAACTTAAACTATTTATACTAGTAAGATTGAAGTATTTTATGTCTCTAAATTTTAAAATTGAGGTTAAACAATAAAGGTGTTTAATAATTTAAAATTTTAAGTGGTTAGAGATAATTAATTTATTTGAGTGATTATTTGAATGGTTAATTTTTCATATTTTTTATTATTTAAAAATTTAAAGATAAAATTTAAAAAAAAATGAAGAGGAAATAGTAGTTAATTATGAACTTATATATAGCTATAGATAACCGTTTAACTTACATTATAAGGTTTCGAAATATTACTGTGGAGTGGAGCCAAATTCTCTGCTATTGCAATCAACCTTCTCCAATAAGGTTTTCAAAAAATCAACGCGACTTTCTTAAACATACCCTAATAAGAATGTGAGCAAATTCTATTAAACGTGGGTGAATCGAAATAAGATTTATTTAAGATATTCTAAGTTTCTAACCAAATGCTTAACGTGTTAAACTTGTATTGATCAGATATATTATGCCAGAAATTATGGGCATTGGTTAAGAAATAAATTATCATTTTTACTTTTGTTTACAGTGTCATGGTTGGATTCAACTTTGACCTTACTTGACTTGTCAGGGTCCGAAATACTGGCTCGCTCACAATAAAATATCGGCTCATAATATATACACCTCCTTTTTTATAAGTACATCTCTTTTATATTATTTTTTTAAATTATAAAATATTATAGTTTTTTTTTAAATCTTCTATTTTTACATTTTTAATTTTTAATTCGCTACTTTCTTCTTTTTTTTCTTTTTTCTTTTAATTTTCACATGCTACTAAAATAGGTGAGATAAAGGAAAGGTAAGGGAGTACATGTAAAAATTGAGAAAAAAAAAAGGGAAAATATGTGAAAAAAAATACTAAATTAAATGTTATAAATGTAAAATTAAAAAATTAAAAATTAAAAATTTAAAAATTAAGAATATTTTAAAATTTTAATTTTTTTTTTTAAAAAGAAGGTGTGCTTATAGAAAAAAAGGAAGTGTATATATCATAACCTAAAATATCTCCTTCCGCTTTTATCAGGCCCATATTTTTTTCTCTGAATTCAGCCTCTGGGCCAATTTTATAAAATATTATAGTTTTTTTTTAAATCTTCTATTTTTACATTTTTAATTTTTAATTCGCTACTTTCTTCTTTTTTTTCTTTTTTCTTTTAATTTTCACATGCTACTAAAATAGGTGAGATAAAGGAAAGGTAAGGGAGTACATGTAAAAATTGAGAAAAAAAAAAGGGAAAATATGTGAAAAAAAATACTAAATTAAATGTTATAAATGTAAAATTAAAAAATTAAAAATTAAAAATTTAAAAATTAAGAATATTTTAAAATTTTAATTTTTTTTTTTAAAAAGAAGGTGTGCTTATAGAAAAAAAGGAAGTGTATATATCATAACCTAAAATATCTCCTTCCGCTTTTATCAGGCCCATATTTTTTTCTCTGAATTCAGCCTCTGGGCCAATTTGCCTCAGACCTACTGGACCCTACCAAGCCCAAATAATTAACTTGCAATCAGCATCCTTATCCCAAAGGTTACTGGCAATGTGTCTTCATAAATTTGAAATTCGTAATTGACTAATGACGTAACGTCTTTAATTATAATTAGTTGTAGGAAAATAAAATTTGTACTTTTTTTCTCTTTTTCTAAAAGTTTACAACAAAAAGCATCCACTTAACAAAAATAAACTAATAATAAAAACATAATAACTGGATCCCTAACCTAATTCAGTTTTATTATAACAAGTTTATACGTCAAATTGTATATACTTCATTCTGTAAAGTTGTACTGGTGCAGTGTTCTCTGACAAATTAGAATCTCAGTCATGATTGGAACGAAGGTTTCCTTCAATAGGCAGTTTGCATTCATCTCTAGATATATAGTCCAATGCAAAACCAAGTATAGTTTTGGTCAAATTAATTTTGGCTTTTGCATATAATGTTAATCAAAGGAGATATCCATCATGACCTGTAGATAGCTAGGGCTAATGTTTCTAAATTTAAAAGTATGCAAAGATATTGGTCAAAATTGTATTTCTGACAGTCAAAGAAAAATAAGCTATATAAGTGCTGTTAATTAATGTAAAAAGGGGGAATTGATATTAAAATAATGGACATGCATGGTGTGCAGCTAGGTTCACGTTTTAGGTTAGGGTAATTTTTTTAAAATTTCAGGGTAGTTTTTTTTTAATATATATAAAAAAAACATAATTTAAGTAGTATTCTAAAGCTAATAACTAAAAATTAATCTACATTTACATAAAAAAATATTCATTAGCAACATTAAGAATCAATCATGAGAGCATTATCAATTCTTCATACTTCAGGACATCGCTTACACTTACTGGACGAAGATGTTTGGTTATAGGCAGGGCACGTTGTTAAAGTTATTTACTAAACTTATAAAAATTTGAACTCGATTTATGAAAATGTTATAGCATAAAATTGTAAAACACTCAATGCTTATATTAATCTTGATGTATTAAACGGTTATTTTAATTCTAGAGATCAAAGTGTTCATTGTGTATTTTTTTCCTAATTAATATAGAAATGATTAATACCATAAACACGTAGTAATGTGCTAGACTATGTTCTTGTGTAGGTGAGAGGGATTAGGTAAAGAGTGATGAATAAGGTGGGGTAGGTAACTAGTCTTGGCATTCTCCTAATTCACATGAGACCCAGAAAAATAGCTGAAGACAGGGATGGGTCATGATCTACGTCTAGCTTACAAAATCCGATGAGACAGTGCTGCATCCATACATACATGTAAACGTACCAATTTCGAAATTTCTGAAGACTTCAGTCAGAGTGATCTAAGAACATCATTTTTCTCCAATATAATATTGGGTATCTGTGCTCTTCAGATCAGCTTTGCAGCAATGTCATGTTTATTTTATTGCTGTTACATACGGCCCAGGGAGAAAGAGAGACGTACAAGTACTACAGCACCTGCATGCCATGCACTCATCATGATTATGAAATATGAATGATCAGATCTACATATATTTTTTCTGAACTAGTAACAGCAGTAAATTGCAAAAACTACTTCATAAATCATTCCTTATCTTTCAAGATTCTGTTCGCGAGAAATTGTGAGGCAGTTCAAGTTTTTATGATCTCAGTGGAATTATTTATTTTTTGATTTGATATTTTCTATTTTAAACTTAAACTTTTATATTTATTTTTTTGTCATTATTCAAAATACTTCATATCAATTAAGACTTTATTTGTTTCTACCCATCAGAATGTTGTTCAAGAGAGGCTAATAATAATTTCTCATTTCTAATCTTTACTTTATTTCCTATTATGGTACTCATGGTAGGATGCCAGAACCTCTAAGCTAGTAATATGTGGTCTTTAGCTAGCATGCAGAAGAAACCAAAACAGGCAGTGATCGAACACTTCTGCAAATAGCATATATATATATGTAACCTAACCTCATGTGCTGTCAGCTGTGTATACCTGTAAGTAGCTGAAGTTTAATTAGTGAGGCTTAGAGTTAGATGTTTATCTCATTCTCACTCTTACTCTCTCGAGGTTATTGCTACTCTGCTACTCAACTGTTCTTTCCAGGAGTTTCTTTCTCTTGAGTTGAGGTTATTTACGTACAGTACCAAGCTTCCATGCTGAATATTATTCTGCTTCTGGTCAACAAGTTCTTCTTGTAGGTAAACTATTTATATACGTACAACTTCTTTCTCTCTTATCTTTTTTTTTCCTTGTCAATATCTTGAGCTTGTTTTCTTAATTTGTTTGTGTGAGAGTGAGACTGTCATGAAGTCTTATCGTGGAAGCTATAGCAGGATACATACTACATATATATAATACTGATTGTTGCATCATGTTACATTGTTAATTACTTGGCCTCATTTTCTAAGTATGGATGTATGTGGGTCTACCATGGAATTTTTTTTCAATTTGGGGACTTGGTACAACTTCAGTTCATACGAAGTGTTAACGGAAGAATTAGATAAAACGTTTTTTCAGTATCTAACTGATAAGAAACCAAAATGTAAGAAGATTGTTATACCCCTTCACTTTCCGTATATGAGTTTTATTTATTGATTTCATGAGCTGAAATTCTTTCAAATTGTTTCTTAAAAACCTGGGTGGTGGATTAAAAGAAGAAGAAAAAACTTTGTTATTAGGAGTTTTCTCTACTGTGAAATTGACAATTAAGTTTACTGTCTTGAA